TTTAGCCACCAGTGTGTCTGTGGTCCAATCCCCAGCTGGGTGGAAACATTGGGCATGTTTCTTTACACCTGTCCCTGTTTGCCTAGCAAGGAAGTAGGTACCTGGGTGTTAGTCAACAGTGTGGATTGCATCCTGGGTGACAAGACTGAAGGACCCCAATGGAAATAAAACAAAATGCCTCGATGATGCTCTGACTTTCTTGGGTTACCCTGGGTAGCTAACCTTCCGGGTTTAAAAATCAAAACTAAATCTTATCTTAATGTGTGGCTGGGCTACAATAGCACTAGCAATGAACAATCTTTCTTCAAAGAGAAACTCAGTAACAGTCTTGATATTCTCTTTAATAAGGCAGATGGAAAGCATCCAAAAACCCTAGCAAAGCAGCAACAATGTATTCATTAAGTATATAGCCAAGGATATACTAATACAGGCTGGATTTGTAGGTGGAAGATTCAGTTACTAGTCAGTGATCCTTCACTATGAGGGAATGGCCAAGATGCTGGCAAAAGATGCTGCTGCTGGCAAAACGGGAACAATGCGGACGTACGTACTTGTTAGTCCTGTCTCAAACTGGAGATCAAACTAGTCCATGTCTCACATCAAACAAAATTTGGCCTCTAGATTTAATAAGGAGACTTGGATACAGATATATGTACTAAGAAGGGTTTGAGAGTGAACAGATGGAACCATATAGTAATAAAGTAACCTATCCACTTTCAGTTTCATAGATTAAATATAATTTCTTCTCAGGCATGCTAACTGACTAAAAAATTTCTGGACTAAGCAAAAGTTAAGCAGTCTGCTCTGGTTGACAAAATAGTCGCCAACTAGCCAAGATCTGGCAACCTGGGTACACTGACTGGCCCACTTCAACCACTCTTGCTACGCAAGTAACAAGTAGTATGTACTTCTGGTACAGAAAGTATTGTTACAGTGTTTCCCCATCCTTTCACTACAACAAGCATCAGTGTCAGGAGCAAGATGACAATGTGACCAGATCTTATTGTTTAGTCATGTGTATTCATGCTGCACATGCACACAAGTATTTTTAGTCATTGCTTAGTAACAGCCTCCTCTTATGATAATTATTTGCCTGATATATAAATACAGTCCATGCTGTGTTCACTGTTGGCATCTCAGTGTAATGTCATATTCTTGCCCAGTGATTAATGATTTTTCTTGATAATTAATAGTCACTCGTTGATGAAACATTCCCAGGTATATATCAAGAGACAGTAAGACCCAGAAAGATTGTTCACTGTGTAAACCCAGGTGAGAGTATTAAGAACTAATGGTGCCCCATGGCCTGGTGGCTAAAGCTCTCACTTCACATGGTGAGGGTCTGGGTTCAATTCCAGGCGAGGGTAGAAACATTGGACGTGCTTCTTTACACCGGTTCTCTATGCTCCCTGTCAGTAAAATGGGTACCTGGGTGTTAGTGGACTGGTGTGGGTCGCATCCTGGGACAAAACTGGCCTAATTTGCCCGAAATGCTCAGCATAACAAGCGGCTTTCTATATAGTAGTATGTCATTGATGTCAGCTAAACCTGTATACCTTGTACATGTACTTGTAGAAATAAAGATATAATTTCCCTACAAAGCCCAAGGTTTCACTTGTGCGGGCACTGAACCCTGGCCCCTCTGTATGTGAGATAAAGCAATTACAAATTGAGCCATAAGTCCCAAAATTATTTGACTTTCTGTGCTGGGAGGCAGTTGAACAGTCTCGGGCCCCTGACACTTATTGTATGGTCTCTTAACGTGCTAGTGACACCCCTGCTTTTCATTGGGGGGATGGTGCATCGTCTGCCAAGTCTTTTGCTTTCGTAGTGGGTGATTTTCGTGTGCAAGAGAGGGACTAGTACCGAACTTGCACACGAAAATCACCCACTACGAAAGCAAAAGACTTGGCAGACGATGCACCATCCCCCCAATGAAAAGCAGGGGTGTCACTAGCACGTTAAGAGACCATACAATAAGTGTCAGGGGCCCGAGACTGTTCAACTGCCTCCCAGCACACATAAGGGGGATTACCAACAGACCCCTGGCAGTCTTCAAGCTGGCACTGGACAAGCACCTAAAGTCAGTTCCGGATCAGCCGGGCTGTGGCTCGTATGTTGGTTTGCGTGCAGCCAGCAGCAACAGCCTGGTTGATCAGGCTCTGATCCACCAGGAGGCCTGGTCTCAGACCGGGCCGCGGGGGCGTTGACCCCCGGAACTCTCTCCAGGTAAACTCCAGGTATCCTAGGTGTTCCACAGCTCGACTGTTAGAGCACTCAGCTCACACACTGAGGTCCGCAGGTCGATCCCCTATACGGCTGGAACCATCAGGACGTGTTTCCTCAAGACACCTGCTGTCCATGTTCACCTATCAGTAAAATATGTACCTAGGTGTTAGTGACTGGTGTGGGTCGCATTTTGGGAATAAAACTTACATAATTTGCCTGAAATGTTCTCCATAACAAGGGATCTGTGCTCCAGTTCCCTGAATTAAGCCTGAATACCTTTCATCCTCCCCCACGGGCGCTGTATAACCCTACGGGTTTAGCGCTTCCCCATGGTGATGATGATAATAATAATAATCTTCATAACAAGGGACTTTCTACACAGTAGTGCCACTGATGTCAGCTAGGTCTGTATACCTTGTAGTACTTGTAAAAATAAAGATATTATTATATTGGTTAAATTTACATTAACTCACGAAATCGTAATAACACTTGCCATGGGTTTAATCCCCACCCGTTCCCATAGGACCAGTAAGAAAAATCAGCTATATATTCAAAGCTTAAATAAATAATAACTTTGACTTTTTTGGATTATCCTAGTTAGTGCACATTACGATACTATGTATGACAGTTTCAATCATCTAAATTTGCGTAATTATACTTCTATGTAACTGTACCTAAATTTAACTTGATTAACTTTGTTCTTCCTTTGTTGGGTTTATCAGGGCCACTGACAACATAAGCCGTATCGAACCCTGTTTCTCGATGGTACGAGGAAAAATTGTTGCCCAAGGCTGGGCGATGAGAGAAAAGGAACAAAAGTTCCTTTGTAAATAGAGATAGAAACTTAAAGTTTCAAATTAGATCCGGTGGACGCCCTTGCCAAGCCCCAGCAGGGAGGGACGTTTAAACTCCCACCTGAGTTTAGTAACCGGCTTCCCACTAAAACCGTTTAAAGAAGTTTCCGAAGACCGGAAAAAATGGAGCTGGCTAAAGTAAGCTGATGTACAGGTGCCCCTCCTGTAGAGTGCCCGGCGGGCAAAATAGATGAGGACAAGCGTCCCAGTGAGAACGAGGGAAATTTGTCACTGATACTCAGGCGAGAGAGAGACGTCCTTGATAAACTTTCTTTCAAGGCGCTTCTTTGTTCTTGGGGTTCTGAAGGCCACTGACACCATACGCCGTATTGAACCTTCCTTTACCCGGACAAGAAACTTAACCAAGGTGGAACGAAGATAAAATAATATAATATAATAATAATATAATATGATAATAATATAATATCTTTATTTATTACAAGTACTTGTACAAGGTATACAGACCATAGCTGACATCATTGACATACTACTGTATAGAAAGCTGCTTGTTATGATGAGCATTTCGGGCAAATTAAGTCAGTTTTGTCCCAGGATGCGACCCACAACAGTCCACTAACACCCAGGTGCCTATTTTACGGATGGGTGAACTTAGACAACCGGTGTAAGGAAACACGTCCAATGTTTCTACCCTCGCAGGGAATCGATCCTAGACGTCAATGTGTGAAACGAGAGCTTTTGCCACCATGCCACAGGGCATCGTGAATAGTCAAAACAAAGAAAAATTCCTAGGTCTATTTCTCGACAGAAACATTAAATTAAACACCCATTCAGCACATGAAAAATTATTCAGATTAGAATCATCTCTAAGATACGTTACTATTTACCTCAATCACAACTACTTACAATATACTACTCTCTTACACCTAAAGTCAGTACCTGACCAGCCGGGCTGGTCAACCCTTCTCTGAAACTTTCTTGACAACTGTAACAGAACTCATAGGCATAATACTAGACACACAAATCTCTGATGTTCCCCGTGTCTGTT